GAGGCCCCGGGTTACAGGGGAGGGGCGGCGGCGGCCGGTTGAGGAAACTCGGGAGGGAATCGGGAGCGGGAAGCGCTGGAGAGGTGTCGGGGTGCTGCCGGGCTCTTCTCTGCCCGGTGCTGCTCGCTGGCCTCTCCTGAGCAGCAGGGTGGGTGGAATCTCTGGTGTGATGCAGATCGGTGGGAGTGCCAGCGCCCGTGAAGGCTGCTTTGCCTGAGCGCGCCCCTGCCCCAAAGCCGGGCTTAGAATCGTAGAATCGTAGAATCGCTGAGGTTGGAAGGGACCTTTAAGATCATCGAGTCCAACCATTAACCTAACCTGACAAAACCACTTCTAAACCATGTCCCCAAGTACCACCTCTACTCATTTTTTAAACACCTCCAGGGATGGCGACTCCACCCCCTCCCTGGACAGCCTCTTCCAATGTTTGATAACCATTTCAGTGAAAATTTTTTTCCTAATATCCACCCTAAACCTCTCCTGGCATAACTTCAACCCATTTCCTCTCATCCTGTCACTTGTCCCCAGGGAGAAGAGGTCAGCCCCCACCTCTCTACCCCCTCCTGTCAGGGAGCTGTAGAGAGCGAGGAGGTCTCCCTTCAGCCTCCTCTTCTCCAGGCTGAACACCCCCAGGTCCCTCAGCCGCTCCTCACCAGACGTGTCCTCCAGACCCCTCACCAGCTCCGTCGCCCCCCTCTGGACACGCTCCAACACCTCAACATCCTTCTTGTCGTGAGGGGCCCAAAACTGAACACAGCTCACCACAACTTGCTCAGGAGCCCAACCCACACGCGATCCCCCGGGCTGGGAGCCGCGGTTCCCCGGACCCTCCATGGAGCAGAGGGGGTGCATGGGGCTCAGGGAGAAGCAGGAACCCCCCCCAACCCCATGGCAAACTGGGGGTTTCACAGAGGTCACCATGCTAAGCCAGACTTGGTCCTCCTGCGGCGCTCCCGGGGCACCAGCAGCTCCTCCTCGGCCACCAGCCCCACCGCAGGTCTGTGCTCATGTTCACACCGGGCAAGATGCACGGTCCAGGCTTGGAAGCAGGAGGAAGAATGGCTTGTGGTGCTAAAGGGACTTTCTCACGCTGAAATGAGACGAAAGGGGGTTTCCCCGCTGTGCCTGCGTGCGGAGGGGGCTCCGGGAGCGTTTCGGAGGCGCTTGTGGCCGCGTCGCTCCATTAATGTGAACTGACGTTTAGCGAATCCTCACCAGATGGTCCGCGAGCCCAAGCTGTCAGTCACCATAAAAACCCCAAGCACCGCTCCCGTCCCCGGCCATATGCAACGCGTCCACCGCCATTAACCTCCGCCGGCGCTGCCGCCTCCCCGCGCCCGGCCACGACGGGGGCCGTGAGTCCCGGGGAAGGGATGCCGGGCCTCGGGCATCGCTGGCTTTAGCTGCTCGTAGGTGGTTTGGAAATATCATCTTTCCCCTTTTTTAAATCCCGCTTGGGAAGGCTCAGCGGCGGTTAACAGGAGCCAGCGCAGAGCAGAGCTGGCAGCTGGAAGGGATGCGGTGCCACCACAGGAGCATCTCGGCGGCTCCCGAGCAGGATGGTGCTGAGAAATCCTCCAGCTTGAGAAATCCCCCAGCTTGAGAAATCCCCCGAGCCCGACGTGCCCGTGGGGCCTGGGGAGCCTCGGGGGACGGGTGCTGAGCGCCTGCCTCGCTCCCCTGCTCCTCGCCAAAGCACCCGCTGCTTCCCCGGGCCGTCTGGCGGGAGCAGGCGGATTTTAACAGCGGTGATAATTAAGTAGGGGACGGCTTAACAAGGCGGCTGTGGAGGCTCTGCCACTTGAAATCGTTCCGGAGGGAATACTGCTCCTAAAATCAGCTCTTGTTTAGCTAGTGTGATGCGCGGCTCTAGCGTGCTGGGGCGATGCGCATCCCTCCTTCTCCTCCTCCTTCTTCTCTTCCTCCTCCTCCTCCTCCCTCTCCCGGCCGCGCCGATGGAGCTGCAGGGTCGGGCCCAGGGGACAGCCCCATCTGCCGGGTAATGGCTTCGGCTCGTCTGCATCCCCGTGCGAAGCCGCATCTCCTGCCTCAAATCTGAGCGCATTTTTGGATGGTGAAGCCGGGGAGGGAGGCAAGCACTGTCCCCCGCCGGGCACTGCCCGGCATCGCTTCCTCCCTGCCACATCCATCTCGGGTCCTTTGCTGGATGTCTCCGGCCATTCCCAGCCGGGCTGGGCTCCCCTGTGACACACGGAGCAAGCGATGTCACGGAGAAATGGGGACCGTCCACCCCAAGCACGCAGCTGAAGATGTCCTTATATCTTCCGACACCGGCGCAGTTGTCCCAGGGGTGGTAAGCGTGGGCCACCCTTCCTGAAGCTGCTGTCACCGATATCCCGGGCTCACATCGCCCAGCTGGAAAATCAAGGGCAGATCTTTGTTTCAAGCATCACTCCGTGGAAACACTTCCGTTCTGCCTTTGACTTGCTAAACCGGTGGCGGTGGGTGCCGGGAGAGCCCGGTGAGGGGCTGGGGCTGCTCGAATGGAGGGAAGGGAGGATGGACGGACGGAGGTTTTCCCCCCTCGATGGACCAGCAGTGACGATCCCGGCTCACAGGAACTGGGACCTGATGGGGGATTCGCTGAGATGCTCCTTGGGGGTGTGGGGGGGTCATTAGAGACCCAACGCCATTGCTGTCGGGGAGGGGGAGCAGCCCTGAGCGCACTCTGTGGGTCAGGGCGGCATCGCAGGGGGATGACCCGTGTCCCCACGCAAACGGGGTCACCCGCTGTCCCCAAGCGCGGGCGCAGCGCCCCAGGGGGGTCCCTGCTTGCGCCCCATGCCCGCACCCGACGGGGACCCAACGCGGTTCGTGCGCGTGTGCTGCGCCACAGCCGAGAGCTGCGGCGCTCTCTGGAAGACCAAACTTTACGTTAAGCTTGACATTAAGATGTTAAACATGAATTTACAACGCCAACGGCCCCGCTGACCAGCCGGGAAGAGTGAGAGGTTTGGGGAATTTAACGACTGTTGCTGGGTGGATCTGCGTGTCTGTTCACACGCGTGTTTCCAACGTGCTCCGAAATGCCTCTTGGCCCCGCGAAAGCTGCGTGCTGGGGCAGGTCCCCCCCGCGCTGCTCAGCACCCTCCGGCGAGCTGTCCCCAACCCGACCACGTGCCTTCCAGCATCTCCCCCTCCTCGCTTCTCCTCCTCTTATTGTCCTCGTATCTCCCTAATTATTCCAGTCGCCTTCCTAATAAGTTGGAGCGCGCGTATGTCAAGAGCAATGGATTGAAGGTAATGCACATCAGTCACCGGCTCCGTGCAAACGACTCAGAGTAATCCCGCACCGGTTAGATCTGTCACAACCCAAATGAGCTGACCTGCCGAAACCTGCTCAGCGCTGCGGAAATGCCACGTTATGCTGAGAGTAATTGGGAGCGATGAGTTATGACTCTTTGGCGGTTAAAGTTAGCAGGATCGTTTCTTCCAAGCTTTCTCCTCCGCCTTCCTCCGGGCTGGCGCTTGGTGGGGTCTGCGCCGTGCAGGGCGGTGGGGAAAAGGGGGGTGTCTATGTGTGGGGCACGTGGAGTTGGTTCAGGGATTCCCCCGACAGATGCCGAATGCAAGCAGGAGGTGAGAAATGTTAGCCCGTGTCGTGGTTCGGTATTGGTTTGGCGCAATGCGCGGATGCTCTGTTATTAGAGGGATGATTTGGTGTGTGATGGAGACACGGAGGTGGAAGGAGAGACACAGGGTGGTAACAATACAGGGGAAGATGCACCCTGCTTGCCCAGAGCCATGGCTTCACTCTTCCCTCCCCTCCGCTCCTGCCCGGTCTTGTGGTCCCCAGCATCCCGGTGCTCTCCCAAAGCCTTGGCCGGGGGGCTGGGGCCAGAGCCCTGGGGGGCACGGCTGGAGGGGGGTTTGGTGCTGTGAAAAACAACTCCTCGGCTTGGGATCCAACGCCCCCGAAGGGACAGGAGCCTCTCCTTTTGTGTCCCCAGGGTGGGACTCTGCAGCAGCGGCTCAAAGCCAGAGGCCACCGCGTGAGCTCCGGGATTTCTCCGGGACGGGAATGCCCCGTGGCAGCGTCCTGCAGAAGATGCGCCGAGAGTGGAGCAGATGTTTCAGGATAACGAAAAGCGAAAGATTGCCGTTGCATTCATTGAATGTCTGCGTGCCTGAAACAGGGAGCGAGGGCGACCAGCGCGGTTTTGGATTCCAAGCCGGCTCTGCCATTGCCCCCAGGCTGGTGGGACACACTTTCCCTGGGGCACCTGTGCCGCGTGGCTCACCTGCACCTCCTCTGCCAGAAGGGGTTCGTGAACACCTCGTTAGCTGATTACGGGCTGGCTAATCCCACCAGCTCCTGAAACCCCCATCCTCCTCGGGCAGTGAGGATGCTGAGCATCCCTGCGCCGGCGCCACATCCCTCTGTCGCCGGCAATACACCTTCCTGGCAGCAAACGCTCAGCTGGGAGCAGGAGTGAGGCGCTAATGAGGGCACTAACGAGGGCACCTAACGAGGAGACCGAGTGGGGACAGGGCGCTCGCCCCTACCGAGAGCCCACAGCCAACGTGGAGCATTGCAACGGGCACACAGGCAAGGAGATGGCTGTTTGTTTTCGGGTTATTGGGAAAGGCTACACTTGTCAAATAAATGATTTCAGCGTAACTATTTATTCAGCTCTATTCCCTCTGTACCACATCTTCATTTGCTCTCGGCACAGGCATCAGCCTTTGCTTTGCCAAGTGTTAGCGCTCGGCAAATATCCCCTGCCTTGATGTCTGGGACTGGGGAAAACGAGCTGCTGGCCGAAGAAAATTTGTTTTAAAGTGTATTTCTCCATTCTGCCCACCCCATCGCTCCTGGCGGGGCAAAGCGAAGGGGGTGGGTTATTTTGCCGCATAACTCCTCTCTTTTTGGAGCCGCTTTGCTCAGTTTTGAGGCCGGCGGGAAGGCAGAGGACGGAGGGGAGAAGCCTCGGCGCGGAGCCACAGCATCCTTCCTATCCGCGGTGTTTTCTGGGCATTACCTACCTTTCCTTGCACGTTGTACCCAGAGCACGTGTTTCTAAAGCCAAACGAACAGGGCGCATCGCTGAACATCCCTATTTTGGGGAAAAAATAAAAAAAGAGGGTGGGAATTGGTGGGCTCAGCCCCGGCTGGTTCTTACCCCCCTCTCCTCTACCCTCCCCCCAGCACGATACATCGGCTGCTACGTGGACAACACTCGCCGGCGAACGCTGCGCGGCGTGTCCTTCTTTGACTACAAGAAGATGACAGTCTTCCGTTGCCAGGACAACTGTGCCGAACGGTAGGGTGGGCGACGGGCACCGCGTCTTCATCAATTCCCGCACACCGCCAGCGTTTCTGCGCTGTCACCGTTCCCCGCCCCGGCTGCTCCCTTCCCCTTCCTCCCGCCTGCCTTCTTTTTTTCTTTTGATTTATGTCATTTTGAGATATATATATATATAATTATTATTTTTTAATTCACTGGTGTTTTCCAGGACCCCAGTTTCTTCCTCTGGGAAAAGCTTGGGAGGGATGATGGGCTCCATCCTCCATCCAGGGGGGTGTAAGGGTTCCAGTTGGGTGCTGGGGGTGCCTTGAGCACTTCTATCCACCCAGGGATGGCCCCACCAAAACGCTGTCCCCCACCAAAAGAGCCTCCTTAGACCTTCCCAGCTGCCAAAGTGCATCCGTGAGCAGGTGGAGAGACACACTCACTGCTTGCTGCAGAAGTTTTCTCCTTTCCCCAGTGTTATGTGAAGGATGTGCCCCAAACATAGGATGGTTTGGGTTGGAAGGGACCTTGAAGATCATCTCATTCCAACTCCCCTGCCCTGGGCAGGGCCACCTCCCACCAGCCCAGGTTGCTCCAAGCCCCATCCAACCTGGCCTTGAACACCTCCAGGGATGGAGCTTCCATAACTTCTCTGGGCAGCTTCGACACGGTCCGTGCCGGCGGGGCACATTGCAGGCAGTTTGCTGCCTCCAAAATCCCCCAGAGCTGAAGCCCATCGGTGCAGCATCCCACGGCACCTGGGGACGATGCTGCAAAGGACCATCGCTGATGGCTGGGGGTCCCCACCATAGGGCTCATCCTCCTCAGCACGGTGCTTGACGCGATGGATGTGTGCCGTGAGCTGAGCCGGCTGCTGCGGCGCATCTTCAGCAGTGCCGAGGTGGGGCTGATCCGTGCCAGAGCCGCCCTGCGGTGCCGGCAGCCCTGCAGCGGGACTTGCCGGTGCTCTCCAGTGGGTTTCCAGCTCCGCTGGCACTTGGTGAGCACCCACCTGCGCTGTAATCCTCCCCCTTTCAAATCCAACCCGTACTGAGCAGCACAGCTCCGTGCTGTGAAGCCGAGCAAAGTCCCCATCACTTATTCCTGCTCCGCCAACACCGGATACATCCTCCCTGTCTGGGAGACGTGTCGCTGTCTCCTGCTTTGTGATTTCTGTGGTCTGTGGAGCCGTTTCCTTTAAGAGAGTACAGTAGGATAGGATAGGATAGAACAGAGTAGAATAAGAATAGAATAGAACGGAATAGAATAGAATAAAATAAACTAGAATAGAATAGAATAAAATAAACTAGAATAGAATAGAATAAAATAAACTAGAATAGAATAGAATAAAATAAACTAGAATAGAATAGAATAAAATAAACTAGAATAGAATAGAATAAAATAAACTAGAATAGAATAGAATAAAATAAACTAGAATAGAATAGAATAAAATAAACTAGAATAGAATAGAATAAAATAAACTAGAATAGAATAGAATAAAATAAACTAGAATAGAATAGAATAAAATAAACTAGAATAGAATAGAATAAAATAAACTAGAATAGAATAGAATAAAATAAACTAGAATAGAATAGAATAAAATAAACTAGAATAGAATAGAATAAAATAAACTAGAATAGAATAGAATAAAATAAACTAGAATAGAATAGAATAAAATAAACTAGAATAGAATAGAATAAAATAAACTAGAATAGAATAGAATAATTTTCAGTTGGAAGGGACCTACAATGATCATTCAGTCCAACAATGCATCCTTGGGATGCAGTGCTGCCTCCAGCGCTGGCCGTGAGCTGGCTGCAGTGGGGATGCTCCCGCAAAAGCCCGTGGAGGCGGGGGGATGCCCGGGGGTGTGCTGAGCCCCGCCATTTCCCTCTCCCCAGGGGCTACCTCTACGCAGGGCTGGAGTTTGGCGCCGAGTGTTACTGTGGACACAAGATCCAGGCGTCCAACGCCAGCGAGTCCGAATGCAACATGGCGTGCAAGGGGGAGAGGAGCAACACCTGCGGTGGGGTCAACCGCCTCTCCATCTACCGCCTGGAGCTGGCCCAGGAGTCCGCCAGGAGATGTAAGTTGGCGGCATCAATGCAGGTCCCGGTTCGGGAACCCCTGGCGGTGCCAGCACAGGGGAGCGCCGGTGTCCCCGTGCTGCGTAAGCCGAGTCATGGCTCGGGAGAGGCGGTCT